GAGAAGAAAGGTGACTTTTTGAGATAGTAACTATTAGTTGAGTTACCACATGAGAAATAAACCCCATCATTAGTTATAGGAGCCTGACTGAGTTTAGATCTTCTTCACTTTTTTTTTTGTGTGATCAGGATAAAAGGGAATGCCTAAATTCTGCAGAAGTATTGGGTTATAATTGACATTTTGAATTCACATTGATTTAGTTATCTGATGAAGCAATGCCTCCTATGTTCAAGTAGTTGTGTGTAATTTGTTCCTTTTTTCAAATAATGTACTTTATCAATACCTAGTAGACTTTTTAGCTCCATAATGAATACGATAAAGTATACTTTTGGAGGACTGTGCTCTCAAATGGGATGCCGTGAGAAGTAATAAGCTAAGCTTAGAATTATATTCTATTTACTTTATAAATCACAAGCGTTGTATGATTACATCTTCTTGGTCTTTGCTGTCAATCTCTTTAGTTGACGAGCTGAAAAATATAAGATTCTACTGATAGTTTGACGTGTGACAGTCGTAATCAGTTACCTGGTCTGATTATTTTGCTTATAGTCTTGCTATGTATGGTACTGGTTATTTTCAAAGTTCCATTTCATTCTGATAGTAACCGTTCTATGAATGTCCAGAACCATTAGGTATTTCCCATTATAGTTGGAGGTATTGAATTCTTCTGGGTGTAGAAACTGTTCCTTGCCTCAACATCAAGATTGATGGCCACTTCTGAAGCAGTTCTGCAAGTTTTAGGTGGTTCACTACCTAGTCTTTTTGGATCTGATAATTCTTTTAGGAAATTGGGATCGTCACATGCCTCCAGATCCTTCATAAGAATCAGAAAGAAGAGGGGTTCAAAGTGTGTGAATTTTCTTAACTGTTCAAACATATCATACCGGGCTATTAGGGTAGATCGCTTTCAGAGCACCAGACAATCTGTGCATGGAGATATTACTCATTCCTATTTGAGATCTGTGAACTGCAAATGCCAGCAATCTGACAGTGCGAGTAGTTTTGCATCAGAAAAGGGAAACGGATCATGGATTAGTGACAATGACCAGAGCTTTGATACAGTTCTTGGTAATACACCAAGTGTAATGCAGTTTGAGACAGTAAGAGAGCTTAAAGTAGGAGAGGAGGACTTTCAATCCAATGGGAGTTTACCTCCAAATGTCTCAGTGGAAGATACCTTGAATAGAATAGCTGGAAACTCCATTGAAGATGAAGCATGGGAACTACTACGAGAGTCTATGGTTTATTATTGTGGTAGCCCTGTAGGAACAATTGCTGCTAAGGACCCAACTAGTTCCACCGCCGATGTTCTAAACTACGATCAAGTCTTTATCCGTGACTTTATACCTTCTGGTATTGCTTTTCTTCTGAAGGGAGAATATGAGATTGTTCGCAACTTCATCCTTCACACTCTTCAGCTGCAGGTAAGATGCTATTAGCTTGCACAAGTTACTGATATTTTCTTTCAAACAGTCATACATTTCTTGATTGCAGTTTTCCTGCTTGTATCTCATCATTTAGTTTCTAATCTCATTCAGCAACCTTGCTATGTATGTCCCTCCACAGCTGTGTGATTAAAGATGGTTGCAGGAATAACTTTTTGTGATATGGTACTGCTTCTTATTATTTCAGTTAGGGATGGATTCCTGGGGAAATTTCATGTTTATCACTGGATATGTAAGCTAGTATGAAACATTTGTTTGACTAATCTTTCCTCTTAAAGATTCAGCTTGCTGAGATAATTGTAATGTGGGTATACACCTATTATGTTTTATGTCTGCAAACAGTTAGATCACTGTTTTTCAAATATATTCTGTTATACATCCCTCTCAGCATTCCGATGGTTTTGCTTTTCTATTTGAGGTAAAATAACAATCTTCTGTGGCTCTGCCTACTCTCCTTTTACACGGTTCTCGAAGCAGAGGAAGAAGAGTGGGCATCAGCTATTTATCCTGCATGGCACAGGTGCTGGTTACCTTTAAATTCTGTAGTAAATGATTGAGAACTGTGGGCTCAACCTACTAAGTTGTTCTTAATTTCAATAAAAGATGTTCCATAGGTTGTAAACCTGAACATTCTCTATTTACTTCATTAATCTGGTTAGCACTTTATGCAGTATAAAAATTCTCTTAATGGAAGTGGTTTATCGTACAGCTAAGCTTAGATCAAATGAAGTGTTTCTAAATTCAGAGTAATCTGTATGATCAAATATATTGTTCAGATGTCAGGGAAAAAATATATGGAATGATAACTGATATGACATTATTCTGCAGAGTTGGGAGAAAACTATGGATTGTCATAGTCCTGGTCAAGGGCTGATGCCTGCTAGTTTCAAGGTCCGTACAGTCCCATTGGATGGTGATGACTCTGCAACAGAAGAAGTACTGGATCCAGACTTTGGAGAGGCAGCAATTGGTCGAGTTGCCCCAGTTGATTCCGGTAGGAAAAAGGCTCTCTCAAAAAAACAAATAATAAGTTTGTTTATTTTTGTTTCTTCACCTTATCATTATTGTGCTTACAGAGATCTCTATCTACTGTAACTGTTAATCCCAGGACTATGGTGGATTATTTTGTTACGTGCATATGGGAAGTCCTCTGGTGATCTCTCGGTTCAGGAGAGAATTGATGTTCAGACTGGAATAAAAATGATACTAAGACTATGTCTTGCTGATGGCTTTGATATGTTTCCAACATTGTTGGTGACTGATGGTTCGTGCATGATAGATCGCCGTATGGGAATTCATGGTCACCCTTTGGAGATTCAGGTTTGATTTCAATCACTGTAATAAAAAAGCTGTTGTACCTGACAGGTTGGTGTTTAGATGGGATTAAAAAATAGTTGAATCAATTGTGGCTGGTTTAGTCCTTTACTAGATTTGAGAATATTGCTCAGTTTGCAAATCCTTGAAGATTCTCCATCTTAGAGTAATTTCAATTTTTGTTCTTCTGCACTGTGCTACTGAGATTTTCTCCTGTTAAATATATATATGAAGCTTCTCGCAAAGGGGACTTGTGTGGGACCTGAATAGAATGAAGATTGTTTTTTCCTTCTATTTCCTTAGTAGATAAGTAAACAAATGTAGGGATATTAAACTGATTATATTCCAGAAGATACTTGTGCTGTTGTTTATTTAATTCGAGATCTAATCAAGATGTTTCAGTTGATTATTTTCAATGGGGTTTCGGGAACTTAGTGGACTTCACTGATTTAATAGATGCTGGGGCTGGGAAAGAACGATTTACAGCTTTAATTAATCTGAAATTGGAAGTCCATATCCAGAGGTATGTGTCTTAAAAGTCATTAATGTTTAAATATTAGATTAGAGAATACAAGGTCCATAAGTTCAAATTTTGTCCTACAAGAGTGTAGTGCCTTCATTTTCATGGAAGACTGTTATGATGCAATCCATGAGTGATCATCATGTCAATCAAATTCAAGGATTTTCCTTGAAGTGCTACTGTGGTTGAACGGTAGATTAGGGCATTAAAGAGTATGCAGATCTTTTGTGTATTATTCTGCACCCTTCTTCCTTTTCAGAATCATTTTTATTAGTGCATTTCTTCTGTATCTCTCAACTCGTGTGTGTTGATCTTCTATGCAGTTAGAGCTATTTGTTCTTTATCTGAAAACTTAATGAATTGTTGTTTTTGTTCTTTGTTAGATCCACCTTGGCTTTAGGTTATCTCAGGTTGCTCCCTAAGAATATTATTTAAGCTTACATTTTAATTTGTTGCAGGCACTGTTTCATTCAGCACTGCTTTGCGCTCGAGAAATGCTTACACCAGAGGATGGATCAGCTGACCTTATCCGAGCATTAAATAATCGTCTTGTTGCCTTGTCATTTCATATTAGAGAATACTATTGGATTGATATGAAAAAGCTAAATGAGATTTACCGGTACCAGACGGAGGAGTACTCCTATGATGCAGTTAACAAGTTCAATATTTATCCAGATCAGATTTCTCCTTGGCTGGTGGACTGGATGCCAAGTAAAGGAGGATACTTGATTGGAAATTTGCAACCTGCTCACATGGATTTTCGATTCTTTTCTCTAGGAAACTTGTGGTCTATAGTCTGCAGTCTTACAACAGATGATCAATCACATGCTATATTGGATCTCATTGAGGCCAAGTGGACAGATCTGGTAGCTGATATGCCTTTTAAAATATGCTACCCTGCTCTTGAGGGTCAGGAGTGGAAGATAATTACAGGATGTGATCCCAAGAACACGTAATTTTCTACCTCGGTTACTTTAAAAAGTTTACTTTGTCTTCTATTGAATCTTAATAATAGCTGGTCCATTATCTTCTTGTTTCTAATGCAGGCCTTGGTCCTACCATAATGGAGGTGCCTGGCCAACTTTACTCTGGCAGGTAACATTTATCTGTCGGTCTTGAATTAGAAATTTGGTGCTTGTATCCGTCTTATCTTTGGTTGGGAGATTAGACCTTCCCGACCTGATATATTGTCGCAGTGCATGCCGTTGCTCACATTAACATATTGTTACAACTTACATCTTTGTTTTGTGTTATGTCTCATTAGTTAATCGGCAATCGTGTTACAAAGAATGACTTGAATTGCAGTGCATTTTTAGTCTAATTTTTATCTCATGCATCTCGTCATTCATACAATTTCTTTTATCGTGTTAGCATCTAATGAAGTTGCACAAGTTTGTTTCTTTAAGATAGAGAAAGGTAGCGCAGAAAGTTTTGAACTAATCTCACTGGTGATATATAATACTGTTCGTGTATGTAGTATTGTCAAAGGTTTGCTCGTCTTTGTGTTCCGTAATTGAATTAGTTCCCCTAAGATACTATTATAGATCGGAATCAGCTGTGAGGAATTCAAAGTTGACGTGTTATCTCTTGAAACTTTTGTAGCTGGCTGTTGCTAGTATTAAGATGAATAGACCTGAGATTGCTGCAAAAGCTGTTGAAGTTGCAGAAAAGCGCATATCACGAGACAAGTGGCCAGAATATTACGACACCAAAAAGGCACGGTTCATAGGGAAACAAGCGCGCCTTTTCCAAACTTGGTCAATAGCTGGATACCTCGTTGCCAAACTCCTCCTTGCCAATCCAAGTTCAGCTAAGATTCTCATTTCCCAAGAAGACTCCGAGCTTCTCAACGCCTTCTCTTGTGCTATCAGTTCTAATCCCAGAAGAAAAAAGCGCGGTCCAAAAAGTCCCCAGAAGACCTACATAGTCTGAGATCACACACAACCCCACAAATGATTGGATGTACAGTTGTTGATTGACTTATGACTATTCATTGAGCCAGTTAATGTGTATGATAACTACATATAATTGTTTTGCCTGGTGTTCACAAGCTGGAATTCTATTTAACATTTCAGCTTATAATATAATGTTCTTCTGTAAACTATTCACTTATTGCAGTCAATATTAAGAAGCTTTCAACCTCGAACGAGTAAGCGTCGTCGTCGATGCTTGAATATGAAATGGTTCATTATGAATTTTCTCTTAGAGTTCTCCATATGGAAGTGCCTAAAATTGTTTTTGCATAAATTTTGCTGTTGTTCTACAGGGAGAAGCCAGTCTGGAAGAGGCCTTATTTTATAGATTTGGACATTTTCTGCAAATTCCTATATAATATTGTATAGTAATACATAAGTATTCATTTAACACTCTACTTTTGTTGAATCTTCTGAGAAAAAAGTATTAATATGAAAAACAATACTGTTTTATATATCATGCTACAGAGCTACGGAAGCAGCCACTGATGCTTGTATTAAGGTAGACTGTCTACATCACACCGCTTGATGTTTATAACAACCCAAGCAATTTAACCATAATATTCACAAATTAAAGTGCAAATATCACTTATATAAAAGTTTATATGAAGATACACATCTCATAATTTTTTTTGGTGTATACCATAGTCGGAGCTAGGGGGTGTGAATCGTAATCTAAACCCCTTTGACAGAAAGTTATATTGTATATATAAAGTTAAAACTATTTTTTTGGTATATACAATAGATATTGAACTATCGTTATTTCTCTATTTACCTCTTTATATTTTAAATCTTTCTGTAAATTTTTTGGCTCCTTCACTAATATATACATCATGTATAAATTTTTTTCCCAAAAGAACCCTACAGCCTATAGGATGTCATTATATTCCCAAAGAACAATATAGGTAAATTGTTTTTAATATATGTAGCTTTCAAATATCTGTAGCCTAGATGGCTCAAAATGTACAACAATTAAACCATAGTTAATACGCCACCAAATATGTACCAGAAAATTAACCTATACATAATACCTAATATCACAAAACTCTTAAATTATAGCATACACTTCATTCTTTTCGGTCCGTTACAAAAAAAATGTCTAATTCCTTTTTTAGCAATTCTTCAATTCCAACTTTCCACATAACATGTTTAAGATCACAGGATTAAAAAACATTTCAGTATATTTGACACAGCTTTAATTCAAGACCATAAAATTCAAAAATCTTCTTTACTTTCTTAAACTCTGCTCCAAGTCAAAATAGGGGCAAAAAAAATTGACGAAGAAAGTATTATACATAAAATTGCATGTTTTTTTTTTTTTTTAAATGGACTGTTCTTTAATTTTTGCTCTTCAAATAAGCTGGTCTTTAGATCCGAACATAACTTGTAGGATATTATAATACAAAAATATAAACTAAGACTTGCGATAAAAATGATTGTTACGAGAACATAAATTAAAGACCAGCACAAAATAAGGACAAAAGGACAAATGATATAAAGTAGTTATATCATTCTGTCTTGGGCCATAAATGGGCCCTTACTCATTTCAACCCGCCGGCAATATGACCCACAAACCATTTTGCCGGCCCAAAGATCTACACTTCTTTGATCCTTCTAACTACCATTCAAAACAAAACAATTTTTTTTTCATTATAACTCACCAAAACAAAATTTCCATCAATCTTATTTACCTTCAATCTACAACATTTTCTCTCAAAAAACCATGTTAACATCTCCGGTCCACGATGACACGACCATCTCCTCAGCGTCTGCAGCTGTCAGCTCGACCACGTTAGAGGTAGGAGAAGGAGAAGTTCGTGTTAGCGTGGACATGGAGGTGGAAACAAACATGTACAATGTTCATACCTCATTTTCATCCTCTACTAAGCCCCATGCAACGTCTAGTGATCCATGCTGGAACGTCATGCAATCAGAAGTCTCGAGTTTGAGTCTGGACGATTTTTGCTTCATTAGGAAACTTGGGAGTGGTGACATTGGTTCTGTGTATCTTGTTGAGTTGAAGGGTAATAATAAAGGGTGTTTGTTTGCAGCTAAAGTGATGGATAAAGAGGAATTGATTAGTAGGAGTAAAGAAGGTAGAGCAGGGACAGAAAGGGAAATATTGGAAATGTTGGATCATCCTTTTTTGCCTACACTTTACACTACTTTGGATACTGATAAATGGTCTCTTTTGTTGACTGAATTTTGTCCTGGTGGTGATCTTCATGTTCTCCGGCAACGGCTGCCGGAAAAGAGATTCGATGAAGCCGCGGTCCGGTTAGTAGTGTACTTCTCCCTCTACCTTTACATATTTTCTGTTTAACCATCCGTTATTTGAAATCTTATTATACTAATAAACAACAAAAATATGTCACTAATCCCATTTAACGATAAATTATTTTTAAAAACCACCTATTTTATGATAGATCAACGACAACCCCCCCCCCCCCCCCTTATTTCGTCATAGATCAAGTGTTGATGCACGAGTGAGGGTACAAGTTTGATCGAATCTAATAATTGTTGTCCATATTATTAGTTCAGAAATCAATAACTAAAAATCTAGATTCTCTGACTCATAGCCTTCAAATTTTGAATCTGTCTCGATTGGTATGAGTTGTCAACCTCTCATGCATGCGCAAACAATTAACATACAGTAAGAAAGAGAGTTGACCGGGCATCTTGTGGATGAGCTATCGGTCAATGTCTCACACACGCGTTGTATATTTCTTTATTAAAAGTTTGTCTGTTGTTGGAGCTCGAACCCTAGAACTTTGATTTAGGTTTGTAGGATTTCTATCTATTCCCATCACTACACTCATTTGATAGTACATCTACAATTAATTATTCCAACTATATTTTATAATTAACTATATGTCTTATTGATGATTGATGTAGTGATCAATGTGATTATTTGTACAGTTTGTCAATGGGCCCACATTACTATGATATATTTAATATTATAACATGATATTTTTAATGAGTCCTACCATAATTAATTATGTGCTTTCAATTATTAGTTGAAACTTCTTGATCATGACCAAAAAAATTGAATTAAATGTAACATGTGAGTTTGTCTATTTGATTTAACAGGTTTTACACATCAGAAGTTGTGGTTGCTTTAGAGTATCTACATATGATGGGAATAATTTATCGTGATTTAAAGCCAGAAAATGTGTTAGTAAGATCAGATGGTCATATTATGTTAACTGATTTTGATCTTTCACTAAAATGTGATGATTTAGTAATGCCTCAACTTGTTCATGATGAGGGTACTAGTCCAAATTACATACATTATAATAATTCAAATGATCATAATTCGCCTTCGTATAATTCATCGTCACCGTGCATCTTGCCTAATTGTATCGTGCCACAGTACGTCTCGTGTTGGTACTCTAAGCACATGAGAAGACGAAGAAGAAGAGGAAGAGGAGGAACGAGTACTGAGAGACCCTTGAGGTTGATAGCTGAGCCGATTGAGGCTCGATCGATGTCGTTTGTCGGGACCCACGAGTACTTGGCCCCGGAGATCGTGTCGGGGGAAGGACATGGTAATGCGGTGGATTGGTGGACGCTAGGGATTTTCATGTACGAGTTACTTTATGGTGTGACACCTTTTAGAGGACTTGATAATGAGTTCACCCTATCAAACATCGTGGCTCGAGCCTTTGAGTTCCCTAAAGAGCCATTGGTCCCAAACATGGCTAAGGACTTGATCACACAACTTTTGGTCAAGGACCCCACCATGAGAATGGGGTCCATGATGGGGGCCACAACAATAAAACAACATCCTTTCTTTGATGGTGTGAATTGGGCACTATTAAGATGTACAACCCCACCTCATATTCCAACAAATTTCAATAGTACTAGAGACTTTGTCTCAGCTTATGATGATGATTATGTAGATTATTATTAATTTCGAGTATCGATTATAGTCATTTTTATACTATCAGATTAAGTTTACGTACAATAACATGTAATTATTTGTACTAAATTTGATATGGTAGTCTGAATGATATAATCAGAGGATAGTTATAGTACGGAAAAAGGTGAGTTGATTCTTGCAATGATTGTACGTTGGGAGGTAATAGGATCCTACTTAAGTTTAAATATGTTGTTGAAATTTTGAATATAGTTCGGGAGGGTACTTGTGTCTTATTTCCCCTAAACATTTTTTTTTTGTATGCAACTAATGATTCTTCAAATCATAGTTATATTTGATAATTAAAATATGGTAAAATTAAGTAAGTATGTAAAAATATTTTCCCTTTTAACTTGAAATTTCAAATTTCACTAATTTTATTGCGTGCATATCTTTTTTAAGTATTTGATAAATATATATTTTTAGTTATATTTTTATTCAGGCTACTTTCCATATATAATAAGTAAGATTTTTTTTGGTATGTAACTAATGTTTCTTCAAATTAAATTTATTTTTGATAATTAGGTAAACATATTAAAATATTTCCCTTTTTAACTCTTAATTTCAAATTTCACTAATTTTATTGAGTGCATATCTTTTTTAAGTATTTGATAAATATATTTTTTTAGTTATATTTTTATTCAGGCTACATTCCATATATAATAAGTAAGATTTTTTTGGTATGTAACTAATGTTTCTTAAAATTAAATTTATATTTTGATAATTAGGTAAGTATATTAAAATATTTCCCTTTTTAACTCTTAATTTCAAATTTCACTAATTTTAATGAGTGCATATCATTTTTAAATATTTGATAAATTTATTTTTATAGTTATATTTTTATTCATGCTACTTTCCATATGTAATATGGTAAGAAATTTAATTTATTTCTATTGGGGAAGAATTTATGTGTATAAATATCACGGTGATCCATTTTTTATAGGTACCATTTCTTGAAATTAATTAGTTCATCAATAAAGCTTATTTTATTCTAGTAATGGAGGGTAAGAAGACTGCCGGACGTCAAAAAATTCCCATGGAAAAAATAGAAAACAAAGCTGCTCGATTCACCTCATTTTCAAAATGTCAATTGAATTTATACAAATTGGCCGGTGAGCTCGTTCAACAACATGATGTTGACATAGGAATAGTTCTTTCTTCTCCAACGAATAAGCCTTATTCATTTTTCCATCCAACTGCTGAAGCAGTTATTCAACGTTTTTTGAATCCAAATATAGAATTAAGTGACACTACAAAACTTGTTGTGACAAATGTTCGAAACAATGTGAATGAAATCGAATATAAACTAGCAGAGTTTAAAATTAGAGAAGATGTTGCAAGCAAGGAAACAATTACACTTGACCAAGCCAAAGAGATGAGAGAAATTGGTTGGTGGGAGGATATTGAAAAACTCAAAATTGATGAGTTAACTCAGTTTGAAGCTTGGCTAAATGTTGCTGATTATAATATGAAAGATCGTTTGCAACAATTGGAAAATGAAGTTGCATCTAATGTTTCATAAATAGATTCATCTCTACATTAATTTTTGAAATATTATTATTTGTTCTGCTTTTGTTTTTTTTTATTTTTTTATTTTATAATTTTATATTGATATGCTAGCTATTTAATGTACTCTACAATGATATATTATGAAATGTTATTTCCATTAATATCTATATTTTTTACATGTTTGATCACTTATTTTCTTATGTTTTGTTATATAAGTACTTTCTTAATTTGTTGTGTTTTTGCACTTTTTTTTGTGATATAAAAACAAAAAATTTATATGTTTTAATTCTTACAATCACTCATGGATAATTTTCTTTTACATGTATTTAATACTTAAAATATATAAATAAAAATAATAATTAAACATTAGACTTTTCAAGAATATATGGTCAAACATGTAAGAGAAAAAAATATATTGTTATTAATGGAAATAATATATATTTGTCCTTCCCACCCAACAACCGCGCCATCCTCAAACCCCCACCCCCCCCCCCCGTCCCCCCCAACTCCCATAGTGTTTTGCTAGTATTGAGTTGATATTTATTCACTTACTTACTAAACACTTGAAAATAAATAAAAAACACTATTATTTTCTATTAAAACATTTTCTTTCAAATTAAACACACCCTTAATTTTGACTTGTTGCTGACTTACTGACCCTGTTTAGAAAGCTAACACAACTTATATTATATGTAAAATAACTTATTGTTAGGTAAATTTATCAGTCTAGATTGCATGAAAAATTTCCTCCAAGGTCAATCATGCACATAATTAAAATCTTTTTTCTTCACTTAATATTCCAAATTTATCTTACTACTTTTATTTTTCAATTCAGTTGAGCACATACAATTAGTCATGGCATTGAAACATTAGACTTAAATTAATGGTTAATTTATTGCATAGTTATAATTATTTTTATTTGATCACAATACTGAAAGTAGATGTTTCTTTTTTATTTGTTCAATCTTTAAATTAAAAGATAATTTATTACTTATTTTTAATTTTTTTATATTATTAATTATAGTTATTTCTTAAAGTCCAGAACTTTGAATTTATAATATTCAAAGGTTGACATAGTTATTATTCTATTACTTATTTATAAAAAATGTATCAGTTTACAGTGAACAAGTAAAAATAAAGGAAAGAATATTTCTCAAATTGGTCTGAAGTGCACTTTCTTTGACTCTTGTAAAGCCAAAAAAGGAAAAATAATTATGGAAACAAGGATGAGAGAAATGAAATATAAAAAAGGAAAATAATTATGGGAATAAGCTAAGTTAGAGAGTTGAAAAAAGTCAAATTAAGAAGACAATTTTGTCTTTTGTGAAGGCAAATAAGTACTTAACCCTATTTAAGTGTATTAGTTTGATTGAGAATGAAAAAAAATAGTAATTCACTACTCAATTTCTATTTTTTTTTGTGATTTTTGAATTTCAAATCTACAAGGATGGATAACAACCCACTCAATCAACATTTTCTTGACGAAGAGGTACAACAATGACAACATTATTTATTATTGTTTCGGTAGAATTTCATAGTTTTGAATCAAATATTGTATTTTGTATTTAAATATACATTTGTATAAATAATTTATTAAAAATATTTTTTTGATAAATTCAAAATTGTAGTTCAAAGTTTCTAGAATTTTTTACATGATTTTTCTTGTGATACACATTCACTTTTTGTGTGCAGCTTGTTGACATCGAAAAATTGAAAGAAAGCTGGATCTTTCAGCATCTTGAGAATGAGGTATGACAAGTGCATGATTGCATCGACACTTAATTAAGATGTTGAATGCTATTGATTTTTCGTGTGTTATACTTTTTATATTTTAAATTATTTTAGTGAAAATTTTAATTCTGCAACGAGGGTGAAGAAGGCAAAGAAAATGTATAGTTATACAACTTTTCCTTTGTATTTATGCGTGAAGGGTGTTATAGTGCCCAAACGTGTGATCTACAAAACCGTTATTTTTAATATAATTGATAAGTGAAAAATGAAGCGAGGAAGTAGTTTTGAAATTGACATGAAGTCCACTTTCTTTGACTTTTGTTTGTAAAAGCCAAAAAAGGAAAAATAATTATGGTAACAAGGAGGGGAGAAATAAAAGGATTTTTGTTTGAAGAAAGCCAAAGAAGAAAGTTTATTAAGAACTTTTATATATTAGTAATATTTAAATAAAAATAATAAAAAAGGATTACAAGGTAACTTAAATTCTAAATTAATTATATGAAATTTGTTTAGAATTCTTGATTTATGAAAGATAAGAACTTCTTTTACCGTCATTATTTGTCACCCTCGTCTTCAACATCATTGGAACAGTTTGAGTGAACCACCTTTACACACAAAAAGAAAACATGATAACTTTTCATCCAACTCAATGATAACAAGAAAACATGATAAAAAGTTATCATATATTTTTGTATGTGTGGGTGATTGTCTCAACTTGTTTTAATGGTGTTGAGGATGAACGTGACAAATAATAACGATGAAGACAAACGGTAAAAGAAGTCCTTGTTTTTGGTAAGCCAAATAAGAATCTTATACAAACTCCATATAATTAATTTAGAGTCCAAGTTACCTTATAATACTCTTTTTGTTATTTTTATTTAAATATTAATTATATGTAAAAATATTGATAATATTTCTAAAAATAAACTGACAGTGTAATTTTTTTGTCCACTGTCGATAGATACTAGTTAATTTCTCAAGTATCTTGATTAACCCGTAGATAAAAATATTAAAAATAAAAAAAAAGTTGTTTATTTTATTTTATGATTCTTCTTGTGATACACATCACGTTTTATGTGCAGGTTATGGATGATGAGTTTGAGAAAGTAGATGAATTGGAATTTAATGAAATATGCCAGTCCTTAGAGAACGAGGTACGTTGAATGACAACAATACTTATTGGCATAAAATTATACTGTTTATATATAATTAAAATTATTTCTGTATAGGTTCTCGAAACCAATAAAATTCATATAAGTGCACTCATTCAATCACTTGAGGATGAGGTATGCCAATGATGTTGCACTTCTTAGTATTATCTTACTATAATTTACTTGAATTCTCTACTCGTTTAAATTATGATGCTTGGACTCTTTAAAAATAATGCCGCATGTCCAACATGAATCTGTCGATATTTTTGAAGAGTCCAAGCAACATAGAGATGTTTTTCACTCAGTTGGTTTGCTTTTTGTAGGGTATGGTTAATAGCGAATTCCGGAGCGTTTACTTGTTGAAGAAGGAAACTCCTTCATTCTTCCGGAATTTAGTTTGTGATTTTTTCCATGATGCTCGCACTGTTATATACAACCTGACTATAACTCTGTATGACTTCTCCTTATTGTTATGAGTCAATTTCGTTTTTATTTTGGCCATGTTTGTTGACGACTTGTGTTACTTTCATTTAATTTTAGTGAGTCGTCATCAGTTGTGAATTTTGATTTTTTAAAGAATCATTGTTTCAAGCTGAAAGGAAGTTCGGCATGGTGAGTTGTTATTTCTAAAAGTAGCC